TTTGTTTTGTCTTCGGCGGCTTTGCGCGTGCTGTGTGCTTGCTATTCCCCCAGGTGAGGTGGTGGTGCTAGGCTTCCCCTTTCCAGCCAGCTGGGTGGCTGCTTCACCGGATTCAGGTGTGTTTGCGTAGACGCTAGGACATCCTGGGAGTTTAAACTGCCATCTGACTCTGAACCCTATCCGGCTTTGATTCTACCGAGGTGGAAGAAATCAACCGTCACTCTCTGCTTGTGGGTAGGAGCCACCGTAGCTAAAGCTGGAACCCTGTTTTCCCAAAAAGCTGTCCTTGTGAGGACCACGGCCTCTCTCCTAGCACTATCTTCCCATTCTTCGCCTTGGTCGGAACTGCTTAGGTACTTTTGGATGCCTGTGGTGACCTCTGAGTAACGCCTCCCTTCTCTCCCCCTTCTTCCCTTCCTATCTCTCATACCCGGATTCCTTGGGGCGGGGACCAGCATTTTCTTTCACCCATCCTCTGTTAATTCCTTGGAATCGAATGGGGGAAAAAAAAGCTATCGGCCTCAGTGCAAAGTATAACGTAAAGGCCCTGAGTTTTGGAAGCTAGGAGGGTGACCATTAGGCACTTGCATTTATCCTGAGCAGTAGCGATTTTCCCACCCCGGACTAAATTAACTTCTCTGGGCCTCGGTTCTTTTATCTTAGTAAAATGGTGTTAGGGGGGTGGAGGAGGTGGAGAGGGAAGATTGGGCTCGATGAACGCTAAACTTCCTTCCAGCGTGAAATCTCTGAATCTTTTCTCTGTCAGTCATCAGATTTGATAGTCTTTAAGAGCTGGCGAAAACTTATCTAAGTTACCATGCCATGCCCTTTGCCCCCAATACGGTATTTGTACTAAGGTAGGTGCTATATGCTGAATGACTCCCTAGTTTTCTTTTCTATGCATTTTTTTTAAACACCGTGTTAGATATTTTGTTTTGATATTACGTTGTTGAAACTCTCCAACCTCGGATATAGTTGTTCTCTCTGTGTATATTTTTAGAAGTGACATTGCCAATATGCCAGATGAAATCCTTTTTTTCTTTTTAAAATCCAACTATACAGCAAACGTTAAAAATAAATTTGGCAGTGGGTAAATCCTTATTCTGGCAAGGCTGCTTTGTAGGGTGATTGACTCTTCCTGAGGCAAGCAGGCCCCACTCTACCTCTGCACGCTGAGAGGAACCCCCCTCCCCCCTTTGAAGAGAAGCTGACCACAATGGGAGACAACACGTCTTAGATTTCCCCTAGTTCTCCCCCCAAAAGGAATGAGTTAAAAACAAACAAACAAAAAATTGAAGGCAAGTGCTGAACTTTCTCTTTAGCAATTCAATTTCTTTTTTGGAAATTTCCAACAGACTGACCCTGCCCTTGTTTTGACCCTTTCTGTTTGTAGCCTGGCTATGTATTATAGTTGTCACGGACTAGCGTTGAGACAGTTTTCCTGATGACATTTTGTATTTCGACATTCACTATGAACTTGACTTCTCAATATCATATGTTGCTACTGTTTCACTGTTACTGGAATGTTCAACTCCCCCCCCCCCCTTCAGCTAATCTTTTAAATTCTTCTACCATTAAAAAAAAGTACTCATCTGCTTCTGCCTTCGGATTGATGGTCCTCCATCTGCTCAATGAGGTTTCTGCTTGATTTAGTTGAGGGGATTAACCTGATGTAGGGAATCAGCTGACATGCTATTATTTTAAATCTGTATCTAGAGTATGTGTGTGTGTGTGTGTGTGTGTGTGTATATATATATATATATATATATATATATGTATATATGTATATACATATATACATATATATGTATATACATATATATATGTATATACATATATGCATATACATATATACATATATATGTATATACATATATATGTATATACATATATACATATACATATATACATATATACATATATATGTATATACATATATATATGTATATACATATATACATACACACACACATATACACATATATAGAGAGAGAGCATATGCATAAGCGCATGTGTCTGTATGTGTGGTATAGATATATGTGGCATATATATGTAAATATGTGTATGTGTGGTATATATATATATAAATATGTGTATGTGTGGTATAGATATGTGGTATATATATACACACACTATATATATGTACGTATTTATATGTTTCACATACACCTCTTGCCATTGGAACAAGTATTGTTATAAATAGTAGGATTAAGAACTGGAGAGAATCTTAGAGACCATATAGTTCAACCCCCTCATTCTGAAGGTGTAAAAAGTGAGGACTAACCGGGGGAAGAGACTTATTTGGAGTCATAAAGATTAGTGGGTAGAGCTGGAATTCATAATGAATAAAAATGATCAGAGTTAATGCAATCACCTTAATTTCTCCATTTGTAATTATGCTTTCCTCATTTCCATGATTTTCCATTTCATTGATTTTTTTCCTCATAATTTTGTTTGAAAGTTTTTATAGAATCTTAGATTTAGATCTGGAAGAACCTCATAGGTCATTCAGTCTAACTCCCTAATTTTACTAAAGGTGAAGAAACTGAGGCCCAGAAAAGTTATGTGACTTGCCCAAGGTCACATTGGTTTTGAGAACATCTTAGTCTTACATAGCTTTATCAAGTGAGGTAGTAGGCTTTTGATGTTTCAAAATTGTCTTCATTTAATAAGCCTATCTGAATTGAAACATGCCCACATTGCAAGACAGATGGAAATTTCATCTTTGTGTTTTAGATGCTTAAAATATCCATACTTTGATGACTGAAGAAGGAGGTTTTGAGAGTGGTTAAAGAGTGGAGTGATGAATAGAGGGTCCCAAGATTCTGATTTGAGGAAAGTTGAAGTTCCAAAAGATAACCTGTGGTTCATGCTGGAAATATAGGCACGATCATGACATAAATAAGGATGAAAGGGCTAGGAGGATGTAATGAGCATAGGTGACGTTTATATAGCTTTTTAAAAGCACTCTACATACATTATCTCATTTCATCCCTACAACAGTCTCATGAGGCAGGCAGTACAAATGTTCTTATCCCCATTTTGCAGATGAGGAAACTGAGCAGAGCAGGCAAATGAAAGAGGCAGGGATTGTTTTCTGTCATTCTTTGTAGCCCCAGAGCTTAGCATACTGCAGGGCAGACTCTAAGCACTTAAATGTTAGTTGCTTGATTGACTGATTGATGACCTCTAAAGTCCCCTTCAGTTCTTAAGTGCTATGCATCTGTGAACTTGCCCAGCCTATTCTGTACAGGTTGTCTACCCCTTGAGGAAAGAAAAAAAAATTGAGATTCTTCAAGGGAAAAAGATCCTATAGAATATATTCTTAAGCCATGAGGTGTCAATGACTAAAGTAATCAGGAACCATTGGTTTATTAAATGGAATAAATTTAATTTTGTCTTGCCACAGACTGACACTAGGCAAGGTCTTTTATTCCCTCATCTCTGACCCCTAGCTAGGAAAGATACTGGCCACACAACTCTCAAGATGTTTCACTATGGAGGGCATGAGAATGGCTTCATCTCTTTGTTTTCCATATTAACTTACTTGACAAGTTAATTCCAACCATTTTGTGATTAAGTTAACCTACAGGGCAATGAGGTCAACTGCCAGAGATTCATAATTGTCTTTGTGGTCATTAGGGTGATAATTAGGGTGATTTTTGTGTTTCGTTGTGCCTAGGGGGAAGGGGGGTCTAGTCCAGGTGACCTCTATTGTCTGTTTCTACTCTGTGATTTGTAGATTTAATTAGCCACGGATGAAGCACCGTTAACATGTTGGAGGGCCAGTAGGACAGCTGATAGAATTGGGTGGACTGAAATCAAATCTTATTTATGCTCAAGTGGGTTAAGAGTTGGAGGAGGGTCATAACCCTAGTCTCTGGCTAAGTGGAAAGTTCCACAAAGAGCTGAACCTTGAGAATTTTCATTAGGAAGGAATGAAAGAAATAGGGTTTTTTTCCTTGACAGATGAAAGAGGAAGAAGCTGGCCCAGATATTGGTTTATCACATCAGAGGAAAAATAACAACACAGAAATGCTGGGTTGTCTTATGGGGTCATAGGATCATAATGAGGTGGAAGGGAGCTCGGAGGATATCTAGTTCTGGCTCTCATTTTTACAAATGAGAAAACTGAGGCCCAGAGACATGAAATAATCCTTCCAGAGTCACAAGCTGGTATAATAGACCCCGTGGCTTCAGAGCTGAAAGGGACCTCTGCAGTCATCAATTTAAGCCCCTCATTTTACAGATGGGGAAGTGGAGGTAATCAGTGGCAAAGGTGGATTTGAACCTTGGCCCATTGACTTCAGATTTGGTAGCTTTTCTTTGATTGTTCTTCAGCCCTCATGATCACTCTGATCAGTTCCTTTGCTCTGAAATGATAGAATGCTCTCCCTCTTCTCTGTTTCCTAGTTCCCATCAATGCTCAGCTCAAGTGTCACCTCCATTAAAAAGCCTTTCCTAATTCCCCTTGGATGAATTCTTAGCACGGCTTGTTGTTCAGTCATGTCCGATTCTTTGTGACCCTATTTGGGGTTTTCTTGGCGAAGATCCTGGAGTGGTTAGCCATTTTCTTCAACTCATTTTACAGACAGGGAAACTGAGGCAAACAGGGTCATGTAACTTGCATTGAGTCACACAGCTATTAAGTGTCTGAAGCCAGATTTGAACTCATGAAGATGAGTTTTCTTGAGTTTAGGCCCAGCACTCTATGCACTGTGGCACTACCTAGCTGCCCTGTGTGGCTTGGCCCTTCCAAAATTACTTGTTATCTTTTGTATTTAGTTATGTGTGGGTGTACATGTTGCTTTCCTCCAACAGACTGGAGGTTCCTTGAGGGCAATGACTGTTTTGTTCTTGTCTTTGTGTAAACAAATTGTTTTAAGTGCCCAGCACCTAATAGGCACTTTATAAACACACACTGAATTGAAATGTCCAAACATTTAATTGCTACCTATGTTTTCTAATGCTACCATCTGAATATCTCTTTCTTGATTCAGATCTGAAGACCAGGCTTTCCACTGGCCCCCGGAGCATGCCCACTCTCCTGCCCAATGATCCTCTTGCAGCACACCGGACTTCCTCCCCCTGAGCAGCTCTCACCCCCTCTTCCTATGTCAGTGGCCACCAGGTCAAGAACCACCTTTCTGCTGTCCCCGCAGACACCTCTGGGGCTGGAGGCCACTTTGCCCTTGGCCAGGGCACAGGAGCTTGCCAGAGCTGGGGCCTCAGAGCAGGATTTTGCACTGGAGGAGCTATGTAGGCCCTTGTACTGTAAACTTTGTAATGTCACCTTGAACTCAGCCCAGCAGGCTCAAGCTCATTATCAGGTAAGTATGGCACAGAAACCTCAAGATGAGTTTCATTAATAACTCTTTTAGGACAGAAGGTGCATCAGAGGCAAAGGAATTTTAAGAGATTTGGGCCTCTCAGAAGGCAGCATTTGATCCATGAGTACTTGTTTAAAAACTATTTTGATAACTGTATTTCAGTAGAAGTGGTTTCTTTTGTATTCCTCTATATTTTATTTTATGCATTTAAAAATATTGTTCTGAAAAGGGCTCCCTTCATTTGCTTACAAGACTGACAGAGGAGCTCATGACACAAGAAAGGTTAATACATGTGTAAGAACAACACAACAATAATTCAGAATATGGTGAACAATGGGATCCTAGGGTTTAAATTTCTAGAGAGATACCCTATGCCTGTTTTATAGGAAGCTCTCCATCCCACATTCCCCTTCGTGAGCATAAGAAACTCCATTCTTTGTTGTAGACTGCTCTGAGTCACTCATTTGGGGATTTAAACCTGTGCTCCCAGGTAGGGCTGATATCTCACATTTGGTGTACAGAGTTTGATCCAGTCTGGCAGCTTTCAAAATCAGTAGCCTCTTTTTTTTAAAGGGGAAGTTTCAGGGACATATAGGTATTGTCTTTATCTAGTGATAGGAGTAGGATTAGAATAAGGGAAGAGTAAGATAAAAAGCTAATGGTAGCTGACACAAATTTGGCAAGCCCTAAATAATATTTATGAACTACAATGAAGGGAAAGGAGAGAAGAGAGAGCACTGGAAAATGTAGGTCCCACCCCTAACTTTCATTAGGGCTGTCTTGATTTCATTTCTCACATTGTGCATCAGCTACTCCTGATTTTTCAAAAAGTAAACTTGCTTTGTGCCAGCCACTGTGCTCAACATTGGGTATATAAGGAAAGGCAAAAAAACATGATGCCCATCCTCAAGGAAGTCACATTCTCACAGGGAAGGCAACATGCAAACAACTCTGTACGTAGAAGATATCTCCAACCTTTTCCATCTATTTAGAGTAGCAGGTGCAAAGGGCAGTTTTTGAGGTGTGTTGGGTGGGATATTTGAGAGGCAATGTGGTGTTGGGGGTAGAGTACTAGACTTGGAGTAAGGCAGACTTGGGTTTATGTCCCACCTCAGACACTTAACTAGATTTTGACTATGTTGCTGACCATATCACTACTCTGAGCCTCAGTTTTTTTCATTAGTAAAAATGAAGACTATAGGATTGTAGATTTAGACCTGGAAGGTTCTCTAGGTCAACTGGCTAATTTTATAGATAAAGAAACTGAGGCCCGTAGAGTGACTTGCCCAGAGTTAGACATTTACTAAGTGTCTGAATCAGGATCTGGACTTTGATCTTCCTGATTTCAAGTCAAGCACTCTATGTGTTCCCTACTGCCTCCTATTATTTAGATATCAAAGGCCTTTCAGAGTTTCTGAAAACCCAATTTTATACTTACTCAAGGCAGACTTGGAATAGTTTATAGAGAGCTGACTTTGAAGCTAGTCCTGCCTCTGGCATAGGCACTGTGTGACTCAGTAAGTCACTGAACATGATCTAGGGTACTCTCCATGACTAAACAGTGCAGAGAAGATGCCAACCTTCATGGGGAGAAGAAGTTTCTTCACTTGGCAAAATCACGAGCCCAATTCTTACTCTCATGCTTTTGGCTTCACCATTGTCCCCTTGAATCTTTAATCTTCATATCTTAGATTTAGAACTTGAAGGGACCTTCAAGATTATCTAATCCATTCTTTCTAACTGGAAGGATGAGGAAACTGAGGCCTGGAAAAGTGAAATGTCTAGGTTAAGGTCACCCGGATAATGAGTGATAGAGTCAGGATTTGAACCCCAATCCTTCCCCCATGTGCCACACTTCCCATTGCTTTGACTCTATTGGTTCCTACAAATGCTCCCTTCAAATTGAATCAGTTTCCCTCAATTCTTTAAAAAAGAAAAGACAACAACTGAAAAACTTCTCCATCCAAGCTATCATTTTCTTCCTGTGGTTTCTTTTCGAGCCAAATATCTAGAATCTGTCTTCCTGGCTTTCTCTTGCTTATATCCCTCACTTCTCAGTCCCTTGAAGTATGCCTTCTGTTCTGCGGTGATGGTTTTTCTCCTCCTTGATTTTCTCTCTCTGCTTCCTTGGCCTCCGCAATACTGGGCTCCCAGAATTCCCTTGGCTCTCTCACTTTTCCTCTGTCTCCTCCTACTTCTTTCAATGAATCGGATGCTTCGGCATTTCCTGCTCCCCAGGCGTTCTCCAAATTGCTTCCTTTGGCCTTCATTACTCCCTGCACACTTTTGATAATCTCATCTGCTCCCAGGCCTTAAATGGTTACCTTTGTGCAAGTACCTCCAGTCCTTAATGGACTGTCCTGGAGTGGAGGAATCAGCTTTGTTCTGTGCTTGAGGACAGAACTTGGAACAGTGGTTACAGGTTTTAGATTTGGACTTTGATTTAAGGGAAAACCTTTCTTTCTACTTGGGATGGGCTGTCTTGGGAGGTAGTGGGTTCCTGCTCCCTGGAGAGCTTAAGACCCAGGCTGAATGGTGACTTCTTAGAAATATAGCAGAGGGGATTCTTGGTCAGGGGTGGCTTCGATTAGATGGATCATAGATTGAGCTGGAAGGAGCCTGGAGATCCTTGAGTCTAATGCCTTCCCTTTCCAGATGAGGAAACTCATGTATACAGATTGTGCTCATACATCGCTTAAGTGACTTGCCCAGAGTCCCAGAGTGCATAAGTATCTTTTGGAACAGTTTGAACCCAGGTCATCCTAGCTTTATAGCACTGTATCTCTAGGCCTTTGAGGTTCCTTCTAATTTTGAGGTTGAGTGATTCTCAAATCTGTATCTCTAGTTCTAACCTCTCTTCCAGGTCCTTGGCCTGAATTCCTGTCTGTCTGCTGGATATCTTCACCAGGATGTGCCACCAGTACTTCAAACATGACCTCTCCCTTAAAACTGTTCTTCTTGACTTGCCAAATTCTATTAACTTTATTTTCCCAGGCTCAAAACCTTGGAGCCCTTTGCCCCTTCTACTCCTTTTTCTTTGCTCTTGACAAGTGTTCATTGCTATGTCCTATAGCTTTTTGACTTCTGGAAGGTCTCTCAAATCTGTCATCTACTTTTCACCCCCCATGATCATGTCAGTCCTTATGGCTTGTGTCTAGACTATTTCAACATCTGCCCAATTGATCTCCCAGCTTTCATCTTTTCTCCTTAGGGTAGCCTACACACCAGCTGGATTAATCTTTTTTGGACCATTAGTATTGTGATCATAGTACCCTCCCATCTCAACCTTTGGTGGCTGTGCACTGCCTCCAAAGCAACTCTAAATCCTCTCCCTGACATTCAAGGCTTTCCATGATATGAGTCTTATTTATCATTTTCTAGCCAAATTGAGACAATCAGGAAAATTAGAGATGGAAGGGACTTTGGTGAGCATCTAGCCCAGCCCATTCATTTTATAGATGAGAAAACTGAGGCCAAGAGAAGGGAATTGAGTTGGCTAGACTTAAGTAACAGAGTCAGGATTCAAACCCAGGTTATCTGATCCAGAGCCTGTGCTCTTTCCTAGGTAACCTGCTGACTCCAGAAGGGAGTTTCAGACAACATGCTCTAAGAGTTTAGGGGATGGAGAACTTGCCTCCAGTTTTCCAATTCTTTGCTTTTTTTAGATTTTTTTTTTTAGGCAATTGGGTTTAAGTGACTTGCCCATGGTCACACAGCTAGTAAGTGTGAAGTGTTTGGTCTGAGGCCAGATTTGAACTCAGGTCCTCCTGACTTCAGGGCCAGTGCTCTATCCACTGCCACTTAGCTGCCCCACCAATGCTTTGCTTTTAAGACTCACAAAGTTCTTTCCAATTATCCATGGAGAGTACTCTCAAATCTACATGTCTAATCCCATGTCTCCAATTGCCTACTGGACATCTCTTCGTGGAAGTTTAACAGGTGTCTTAAATTCATGTCCAAGCCAGAATTCTTTCTCTTCCTTTTTCAACTCGCCCTTTATTCTGATTTCCCTCTTCCTGTCCAGGGCAACCCCATCCTACTTTTCCCTCTACCCTCCCACCCAAGATACTGCTGAGTTCTACTTCTCTAGCGTCTATCCCCTTCTCTGCAGGAATACCCCAGCCACCCTAAGTCAGGCCCTCATCACCTCCCATCAAGCCCATTGGAATAGCTGCCTGCCTAATCTATTCTCTATGCCTGGCCACCTCAAATTTGTCAAACGCATAGCTGCCAAAATGATATTTCCAAAGCATAGTTTGGAGCATGTCACTCCTTTGCTCAAGAAGTTTCAGTGGCTTCCTCTCACTTTAGGATAAAATGCAATCTCTTCTACTGGGCATTTAAAGTCCTTCACCATTTGATTTCAACCTGTCTTTCTAAGTGGGGTGTACATCACATCCCATTGTGCATGTTGCTGTTGAACTGGTCCACTTGCTCTTCCTAGTCCAGGACAATCTGTCCCTCCCCTCTGCCTTTACACAGGCTCTCCCCACCTCCCTGGAGTTCCCCTTTCTCCTTCCTCCTCCTAGAATCTTTAGAGCCGTTCAAGGCTTGCCTCAAATGCCACTTCCTCCAGGAAGCCTTTTCTGATTTCGCCAGTTGTTAATGCTACCAGTCCTCCTGAAGTTAGTTCATATTTACCTCTCCATGTGGGTGTTTTTTCCTCCAGTAGAATAAGAGCTCTTTGGGGTCAGAGCAAGGACTATTTTTGTCTTTGCTTTCCTGGTGTCTTGCCCATAGTTGGCTTAATAAATGTTGGATGAATGGAATTTACACCTAGGATGCCTCCCTTGCCTCCATCTCCACCTACTGAAATTTTATCCATCCTTTAAAGCTCAGCTCAAATGCGACTATCTTTGGCTGGCACTTCTCATTGTTTCTATTCCCTATCCCTTCTCCTTCCCTGAAGTTGAAATGATCTCTCATTTCTTTGGGTTCTCATAGCATAATGTTTGTATCTCCCTTATGGAGGTGTTATTGTGCCTTGGAGGCAGAGGACC